TTTTTTTTTTTTTGTGTGTTCTTCACTATGCAAATTAATTACAAGAAGAAATGGCAGAGGCCAAACTCCGATGATGATAAAAACAATCCCAAGAGGGCACAGTTTTGTATGCATGTAGGAGTACTATTATTACTGTGCAGCCTTTTTCTCTCTCCTCTTCCCATCATCATCATCTCTTTCTCTACACCCATCAAAATTTGGAATAATAAATAAAAAAAAAATAGAAAGAAAATTATTATTATTAAATTAATTAACAACTAATTAAAAGTCCCACATACTTTATAAGATGAAAAAAAAAATGGAGTCTTGTGACAAATTTTCAACACACACAGACAACCTAATACAGAAGAACATCAAAAAATTTGCCCAAAAACAGGAGTAATCAAAAATTAATTTTCTTGCTTCATTGGATTGATGATTACTCAATCAATTCGAGAAAACCTATGATTCTTGAAAGAACAGTGTTTTAAAACTAACTATTCAGCTCCACAATAAGAAATTGAAGGGATTGGTGGGTGGAGGATAGGGATGTGATTGTACCCAATTCACCAATTTTCAGTCTTTAAATAAACTAAACCGAGGTCTAGTCTCTTATATGGTTAGATACTGACCACGGTTAGGTCCAAGATTGAATGTTGGGGTTTGGATACTAGCTTCTATTTTAATTTTTTTTTTTTTTTTTATGCAATATTAGTATTGGATAAAAAATTTTAATTTAAACTCCTATATTTATTTAATCCAACGTAACTTTTCTCAATTTTATTAATATAATTAAATAATAAAATATAATTATTACCTCCCAATATTTTTTTAAAAATAATTACTATTCGTGAACTCACATACTTTTACCGTAATTTATAGTAAGTATTTTGCTAATTTTATTTACATCGAATTCAGTCATTATATTTATATCGTATATCTATTCACAAACTCAAAACTGATTTATTAATGTACCCAATCAATCCAATTTTAACTCGTTTTATTCAATAAATTGAATGAAATTAAAAAAAAAATTACAATTTTAACTGATTTTATTCAATAAACTGAATTAAATTAAAAAAAAATTACTCGCAATTGGAGCTTGATATTACAAAAAAATATATGCCTGAGGCGGCAAATTGTTAGGCGTCTCCATCCGTCATATTTGTTTTAACAAAATTAAATGTTTATTACAAATATTATACTATTTATAAGCCAAAACTGTCGTTGATATGATGACTTTTTTCGAAATTGCAATTTAATCACAATTTTTTTTATTTTTGCAAATCATATCACAATCTTCAATTTATTGTTCGACCACATCAGTTTTTCTATGATTGTTTTCAAACTGTTTGCAACAGCTAAGATTGTGATATAATTTGCAAAAGTGAAACAATCATGATTAAATTGCAACTTCGATAAAGGTCGTAATATTAAGGACAAATTTGCCAATTTATAATATAATATTTTAATTTATAAATTTATATATTAAATATAATTGTATAACTATTACTTGTAGGATAGTAACATTTTTTTTTTTATTATTTTTGGTGATCCAAATGAAATGAACCCCAAATGCAAGGCAAATATTCAAAGTGCTTGGTCCACATAGCAACGTACACTCAAACATACGAATAAAATATTTTATCAATAATAAATCATTTAAATGCGTCATTATCATGTTTATTAAAGTTGTTTATAAGAACTTTGTGATAAGTGGGGAAATTCTATACGGCGTCGTGGCGTGTCGATCGGCTTGAGCCGAGCCATATTTTGAGATTTAGATGGCGTCAGCAGATCACGGGTGTAACAACCGCGTGGTCGGTGCCCATGGAAACCGGAAGTAGTGATGTTTCATTTTGATACTTACTTTCATTTTTTGCCAAATTTTCTGACGACATAATAATTTTTTTTTTTTAAAAATAATATTATATCAAATATAACAACCAAAATAATAAATTATTTTTGTGATCTAACCATAACATAATATTTTTTTCTTAAGAAAATATTATATCAAATATAACCACCAAAGTAATAAATTTTAAAATTTTTGTAATCTAACCATATGGACATCACTACAAAAAACATTACAATTCCAACCAGGGGCGTAGCCAGGATTTTTTTTAACCTGGGGCTGCTAACTATTATTGGAACCTTGTAGACATGGTCATGGGCCGACCCAGCATGTCGGTTCGGCCCAAACCGACACAAGTAGACCCGTTGACCATGGTCTTGAACAAACCCGTAGTTTGACCAGTTCGGTTCATGTACAATACTTTATAGTTTGTACATTTTGAACATGTAGTTTTGGTTCCGAACTGGAACCGGAACCCGAGGTTTATTTTTTTAAAATATTATTTTAATTATTTTGTATTTTTTAATTAACTGGACGACCAGTAATCGACAATTCAATGAACCGACCCGTACATATGTTCGCGTCGGTTCATGCTCCTCCAACTCTTAGCCCGGTAATGACGGTTCGGCCTGTAACTGGTTTTAGTTATGATTATAAACAAATTATCTGCTAACATATGTCGGTTTGAATTGAAAAAACTCAATCTCGAATCGCTTATATATTTAAACAAACCAAACTCAAATAGCTAAGTGAACTTGTCGATCAAACAAATAAAGTCGAACATGTTTGCAATCAACTCTGTAAGAGTTTTTTCTTTGTCTAGGAAATGATGTCGAATTAATTATTGGAGGCGAAAGAAAAAAAAAATAAATGAAAATGGATAACGGACTGTGGAATGAGACGAATCGAATTAAATAGCCCGCTGGAAAAGTCTGTGTCAAACTTAATTATCCAGCTCATTTGATATTTGTCAAGTCAACCCATTAAAAATTTAAAGATAAGAGTGTGTTGGGCCACATTATAAACTCAATTGATAAAATCTAATAAGGTCACAATTGTCATTTGACAATAAAAGATTATCTTTTTTCCTCACTATAATCATCATTTTTCCACCATTGTTGTCAGATAACAAATTTTAACATGAACATAATCTTGAGTCATTCAGCCTAAAAATTAAATGGGGCTATATAAAAAATTACATGGGGCTAATGAGTCTATGTATAATTTTTTTTAGAAAATATGATTAGCAAAAATAAGAGTAACAAAATATTACATGGGGCTGGAGCCCACCCTAGCCTTAGGGTGGCTCCGCCCCTGATTCCAACGGCAAAATTTTCGTTGGAAATTCCAATGAATATTCCAACAAACTTAATTTTATGTTGGAATAAGTGTTGGATAGTTGAGAAATTCCAACGAATTTTTTCCGTTGGAATAGCTGTAGGAATTTATTTCCATAGGATTTTCCGTTGGATATTTGCTATTCTAACGACCGTTTTTCCAACGGATTTTTAAACGTAGGAATATCTGTTGGAATAGCTATTCCAACAGAAATATAAAAAATTCCAACGGAAAATTTTCGTTGGAATGTAAGAGTTTTTTTTTGTAGTGCCTATTTTGCCGACTAATTAAAACTCGGGTAAGGCCTGTTGGGGACGAATGTAACTGAGTTGGGCGCAAGATGAAGCACGAATGTGGCTTTTGGCTTTATCGCGTCCCGCACAACCATCTTCATGGCCGCGAGACTGCGAAAAACTTCGTCTGTTGGGCACGACACACATTGTGTGGCTCGGTTATTGTCGCATTCTCTATGTCCATAAAGTGCTTTTGGCTTCCGAATGCATCCAAAAATGAACCTTGGTGGTATTTCTCAACACCTAAAAATACCCATTTGAATGAATCAATAAAAAATAATAAATACACTTAACGTAGATATAAGAAATTGATAAGACGCAAATTATTTCATGTTCATCTTATGTTAAGTATCATTTCTTTATTGAGAGTTCTAAAAACAAATAAGTGTCAGTTTGAAGTATCATTATACACAAGATAAAAAGTCATTGTATCAAAGAACGTTTGTGGAAAATTGTGATATTAATCGATGACAATTTCGTCTTACGGAGAATGTGTTTACCGTGTCTCAAATTTATTAATTTATTTCAATTTTTTGTAAGTGTTTGTTCTTGGTTCAAGTTCATAGATTCGTTGGTGGATCAGGTCGTTTGTCATCATTATTTGTTCGTATCGTTTGTTGCTATTATTTGAAATATAGGAAAAAACAACATAAAATAAAGTAAAAGATTAAATACTCGTTTAACTTTACATTTGGGGTTTGCTTGTTACGAAAATATTGGTATTTTATTTATTTTTTTATGATCCATGGTTAATATTTAGAAACTGGATATGATTAATTTTTTTTTTCCAACAAAAGAAAGATCTCTATTGAAAAACCGGGTCTGACAACTACAAGCTGGTACAATCCGAGGACAAGCCACCAAAGGCTAAACAAACCACACTGAGAGGCACACCATGAGATGGCCTAGAATCAACACATACAGATCGGTTAGAGGCATGACTACACTCCTGAGGCCCAAATCGACAAACCACCAACATAATACTACAAAATACCTCCAAAACAACATCCTACTAAGGAAAATAGAAACAACAAACTAACAACTAAACACAAAGGAAATACCAACAAAAAAAAGAACTAAGATTGACACAAATTCCTGCCAATCCATCCACGCCCGTCTTGCTGTGATGATCTCAGGTAGTCTCTGTCCTTGGAATAGCCACAAGTTTCTTGACCGCCATAGCCACCATAAAATATATGTACTGAGTTGTATGCGAGCTTCTAATTATATGGTTGATTTGTCTGTGGAACAAACCTGCCACCACTATGCCGAACGTTTTCTACAACACCATTAATCCTTTCCCAAGTAACAGGTGATTAGCTTCCACACTTGTTTGGCTCTCCTGCAGTGAAGTAAAAGATGT